AGACCTGCTATTGCCTTTTGCAGAGTGATAAGAGACATCTACGAAAAAGAAAGTGAGAATAACACATCACAGTAACGACAGATTCCGAAAAATGTTATTTCTGAAACTAAACAGAACGCATATTTTCGATTGTTCAGGTTTTTTTCTATTTGAATGTTTCTCTAAGATCAAGTAAATAAACAACAATCCAAAGAAAACAACTCCTGAAGTGGTCATGAGATGATCTCCACCAATTAAATGTGTGTGGTTTTTACGTCACCCTGAGAACTTTAAGCAAGTTGTTGAATCGGTCTGCTTCTTGGGCCAAAACAGTTGTGAGGGAGTTCAGGTGCCCATTGGTGTCTTTGATAAACAGTGTGTCAATTGCTTCATCCATGTCCAGTCGCTCTGCACTCCAAAAGAAAGACAAGTTCACAAAGAGACAAAAGACAACACAAACCAATGAAAACATGGGGAAAAAGAGTGAGTGTAATAATGCAAAGTCTCAGCAGTAACTGAGATCGATGTGCAGGTGAATCTATGTGGGGTCAGCGTACCGGGCAGTTTGGCTAGAATCAGCTCGGCGAGCTCGCAGACTATGTCATCGTTACTCTTAGCTCCATGTTGCGCTGAAGAACGAGGACTAACATCCAGTATGGTATTGATCAGAGTTATAGTTTCTTGACGCTGCAGAGGCAAACACACACACACACACACACACACACACACACACACACACACACACTCATGTATTGATATTTTATCATAGCACTCCCAAAGCTCATAAACTGCATGAGAAACATAAGTTTAAATCACTAAAAGGACCACCAGCCATTTCTTATAATTGCTGTGAAGTGAAAAATTTAACAAATTTTGAAAAACTACGTATAAATAAGAAATTGCACAGTCATTTATATTTAAGAGAACAACTGGCAGTCTGGTATAAAATAGAGACAGAGACATTTGCTTGTAATGTACTGGTATTGTTACAGTATTGTTCTTCACCTGAAAAGCCAAGTTGGCATTCTCATGCATACCAAAGACCTCAGGATCATCAATGATTGGAAGATTCTCAATATACTTCTTATATTGTTCGAGTTCATCTGACTCTGGAGCGTAGTAAACACCTTACAGGGAGAAAACCATTAATTGAGATATATGCATAGCGTTCACTGTGCATACACGCCCGTACATACACATGTACACATACACACACATACATGTACACACACACACACACACACACACATATACATACAAAAGAGGGCAGAAAGAACAATACCTGAGGGGGAGTAGGTGTAGCCAGGCTGCAGAGTTTCTGGAGAAAAAAAGCCTTTGAGGATTGTCCTTAGGCACCGTTGGTCCCAGGCATCCGTCACTCTCCCTCCATACGTGATCTCACCTGAAGAGAAAAAAAACACAGTAGGATTTGAGATATTTCATGGCTTTCTTTGTTTATGAATGCAGGAGATATTGCTTTTAAAGACCAGACCCTCTTCTAGTTTCAGTTGATCAAAATCTCACTCAGAATCAGAAAAATAAAAAAGTTATGGAAAAAACAGCAACAACTTTAAACTAAAAAAT